CTGCTTTGTGCTCTCAGGTGTCCTCCAGGAAGAAGGTGGCTTTCAGCAACGTTTCTTCCACGCGGTCTCCTCGCTGCCCGTGCTGCATTATCCGCTCCCAGGCCTGGGGGGCCACCTGCATCCCTGCCACATCCCTTTCTGTCATGTTAATGGCCAATTCAAAAAGAATGGCAGGCCCAGCGTCCTACCTGGCTGCTGCAGAAGTGCAACAAAGCAGCAGGCATGAGGTGACCAGGCTTGTCCCTCCTGCGCCTCAAAAATAATAAGACCTCCCCGAAAATAAGGCCAAGCACTTATTTCAGGGGTCAAAAGACCCTGTGTTATTTTTGGTGAAACACTATATATATATTGCATCAGTCCTAATTCCTGGCAATTACATGGGCAAGACTACCTAGAAAGAAGTTTTGGAAATTATTTACCACTGCATTTTTCTTAAGGTGAAAATGACTGCCTGAAGTTCTCCTATTTAGCTTCCATGCTTGAGGCTGGACTAGAACTCAGGTCTTCTTAATTCTAATCCAATGGCTTAACCACTGGACCAAACAAATCTTGTAATATATTAACAGGATTTATGTCATAGATATACGTATCAACAGCTGGATGTTTCTCCTTCTAGGATGTCTCAGCTGTGGATGGTCAGAATAACATAACTGAATCTAACCATCCAGAGCTGAGATATCCTATTGTGTAAAGGGACAAAGTCCATCCTGTGCGGGATTTTGGTTTTTACTCACTTGAGATGAGTTAAGTCAAACTAGTGGCTTACACATCTTACTTTGGAAACCAATAAGAAATTTCATCATTATTTGGGATTTGCTCTCTTGTTTCCACAGATAATTAATAAAAAATATGTAAATAATTTGGGATTTGCTACTGAATTTCAATGGTAGAATCTTTGGAGAGGTTGGGAACTTTCATTGGAAGTAAAATTGATTACTTCTGAAACGTATTTCCCTTTTGTAATTGATCTCCAAATAAGATTGCAAGGGGGTGGCAACATCATTAAAAGAAAGCCATCCCAGTCTCACCTAACCTCAGGTTTCCCCTGGCAGCCTCCTTCCCAAATATTAACCAGGACTGCCCCGAGCTTTTTCATCTATTAAGAAACCATTAAGAACAATTCTGAAAGCTCCGAGTTTGGAGATTTTAACAGGATGTGCTTGCTACTATAAATCTTATACTGTTGGATGGCTTAATTGTAGTCAACAGCTCAGTAACCTAGGAAGTGTCACATTCATTTAAAAAAAATCAGTTTCTCAGAATACTAAATGCGTATATTTTTCTTCCAAGCTTTTTTGCTATAGCGTTGGGCATACAAAGGTTTTACCACTCTGAATTCCATTGTTTTTTTCTCTGATGGGGAGAAAGGAAATATATCACTGGGACTTCTTTATTTGTCCTTTTATGTTTCTGCATCCATATCTTCAATCACATTCTTTCTTTGATCTTGTGCTGCCTTTGTACCAGCACACAATGAACAGGCGGGGCTGCCAAGTAAAGAAAAAATTGAAAACTATCTTCAAACATGTTTGAATCAACAATCTAACACTCTAAAAATTAGAAAATGAAAGTAGGCTTTAGCTTGTTTTCTCAGAATTAACAAACATGTTTCATGAACTTTCTGAAGCTGTTAATTTCTAGAGTTGCTCTCAGATTAAAACATTTTTAGCTGAGTTGGTGTATGTGCCCAAATTCTTTCGCTCACAACTTGCTGGCTCATGGAAATTAGCCTCTTTCTAAACTTCCAAGAGAAGCTTCAGAATGAGATTATTTCATGTTGTAGCCTTGTTTAATAAAGGCATATCAAAATATGATATATAGACAGAATTTTGCAGCAACACAGAGCATTTGTTGATGTTCTCCAGATGAAATATTCTCCTTGCATATCTTTGCTATTAAGTGAAATATTCTTGGATCTCTCCTCCAAGACCAAGCTCACTCTTGCAGAATCCAGAAGCCGCAATTTGCATCTTGGCTGGAGGTAGAAGTCGGGGTTACACTAATTTCTGTTTAGCTTCCTCCCCAGTGCCAGCACCACCAATCCTTCAACTGGAAGAATGTTGTACCCATAACAACAGTGCCACATTGTCGTGGAAGCAGCCACCTCTGTCCACAGTGCAGGTGGAAGGATACATCTTGGAACTGGATGATGGGAATGGTGGCCAGTTCAGGGTAAGCAATTCATAAAGAAACGTGACGTGAATCTGGAAAGTAATTTGGCTACCTGATGAACAAAACCCAATTAAACTATGTTTGAGTTGGAGCTCCAAGTGTCACCCTTGACCTGAAAAAATTAGCTCACCTCTAATGCAAAAATCTAATCCAGCCTTCTGCTCGCAATTGTACTCCAGAGAGACAGCAAGTTAGGGAAGGCTAGTTTTGCCCCTTATATTTCCAAATTTAAGAATGCTGTGTTGGGAAACATGACGTCTGCTGCTATTTGGGAGAATTAGTAATCAGAGTAATCAGAACTTGACAAATTGGAAGAGAAGTAATCTGACCCAGTACAAGGCAAATTTGTGTGTTTTGTGTTTAGGAGGTTTACGTTGGGAAGGAGACAATGTGCACTGTGGATGGTCTGCACTTCAACAGCACCTACAGTGCTCGGGTAAAGGCCTTCAACAAGACAGGAGTCAGCCCCTACAGCAAGACATTGGTCCTGCAGACTTCAGAGGGTGAGTTCTGAATGGAAGGCTTTTCAACAAAAGAGAATATACTGTATGTAGCTCAGGGTTGAATGATTGAATCTTTGGTGCTCTCTGAGGTTGGTTGTTTGCTTACAGATGTTTCTTTACCCAATTAGGTATCATGAGTGCAAATGTGTGTGGGGGGGGGTGAAAAAAATCTCATGGAACATAACTTTTCTCTATCTGCACATGAGGAAACAAGATGGTGCCCATCTCAGCACTGCTTGTTTGAACCATGTTTTTTTTTATTCTATTTGTCAAGTTGGAATCCTATTTCATCCAACCCCAAAAGTAACAGAGAAAAAACTGAAAGTTGGTCAAGGGATACTTTTTTGTTCAATCTTAAATTGCAAAAGCATTTGGGGAAGGGAGTGCGTGAATTGGATATGCAGAAATTCACAGAGGGTTTGTGCCTGTTATGTGAGCTTGTTTTAATTCTTGGACTTCTTTAACTTCTCCCTTAGCAATCTCTTGTGCCTTAGCTTTCACTAACATAATAATAATTCAGTTAATTGCTTGGTATTTGAATCATAAAACCACATCGGAATGTACAAAAGAAAATTCAGAGCAGTGTTTCCTAAACTGGTGTCCTCCATATGTGTCAAATTAAGATAATATTTGTAGAAAAACCTGTTACAAAAAGGTTTATACGTATTTCAAAATGTGATCAAGTGTGTCAAACCTAGAGCTTTTATAAAAAAAGCAATATGAGTTTCTTATTGCCAATTTAAAAGAAAAGAGAAAATGTATTGTGTAAGCTACCCAGAGTTCTCTTCAGTGACTATAACAAATGTAATAAATTAAATATGTTAAATATATTCTATTTTAAGAATGCATCAGCTGAAGTATTTCAGTATTGTGTGAAGCAAATTATAATCTTTGCCTTCTATTGTTTAGCCATACAATCTTTCCTATTTAATTACTAAGGAGACATTCCCAAATGTGAATTGTTAAGACATAAAATAATTTAAGGGTTACTCTTTATTAAAACTGTTCTAAATAATTTTTACAACTTTGAAATGGTATTTTCCCATTATCTTCCTGAATAGGATTAAGCCTTATTCTGTAAACCATGTACAGCCTTTCCACATTATAAGATTCATTTCTCATGCATTGTGGTAGTTGCTTTTCTAAAGATGGAGGACATGATGCATCAATTATATCTCAGTAATATGTCTATCATATGCTCCATTATTGCCCCATTTCCCTAGTTGTTGATAGCACTGATCTGTGGTTTTTGTTCCCCTATGCTGTTCTAGCTTGATTATAAATTGATACGTGGGGAAATCTATTTTGAAATAAACATAGTTAGTGGTTTAAAAAGAGGTAAATGAACCTGGTAATATCAGCTATTTCAGGACCTCAGACAGCTCCATGGATTGCAGACATTGCTCCAGTGGTGCTGTTTGTGAACCAATACTATAACTTCTACAATTCTTCAAGTAAAGTGGTGACTAATTCACACGGGGGAGGGTTATGACATGTAGGCATGAACAATAAATGATTGCCAATGTGGCCACTTGACTTTAGGTCTCGGCTTTTGTAGTTATTCAACCTTCTTACAGAAACGTTTGTGACTTCCTGATAACTTGATTTCCCCCCCTTTCTGACCTGGGAGATTGAGAAGGGTATCAGACTAGAAATGTTAACTTGCAGCTATGAATAAACTGAACATGTGGAAATTCCTGATAATGAAAGCTGAGCATAAGAATAGGGAGTATCTATCACAAATCTGGATTTTTTTTTTCTATTCAATTGTGCCAAGTTCTTGGACAATTCTCACTGTTTCCTTCCTAGGGCTGAGAGAAAGTGACTAGTCCAAGATCATGCAGCTGGATGGATGCTCATTGTGAGATGAGCTTACCGTCTTCCAGGTTCTAGCCTGATGCCTTAACCATTACACCAAACTGGTTTCTCCTGGAAATTGTAACTCTGGGAAACTTTATGTGGACTCTAAGAAATGTGCTCATTTTGATCAAGGAAAATGGGCTAACTGGACAAGACATTCAAGCATTCAAGCAACATCTACCATCAGAGCTTAGGGAGGTCATTTGGATGTAACTAGAGAAGGCCAATCAAGTAAAGAGCATCTTTTCCTGAATTGTAGTTTATGAAATTGTCATGGAGCAAAGAACCGGTAGAGTGAAATTCAAACTAAAATTTCATCTAGTTGAAATTTAGATCTTTAAACATCCAGGTTTGCCCATCAGTCCACATAAATACAATGTTCTCCTCCTGAATAACAAATCCATTGCTGTTGTACTCACAATGTAAACTCATGTTTAAAATGCATGTTGTGGGCACTGACTGGGCATTGCATATTAAGTGATTGGTGCCTGTATTACAGGCCTTCACTCTACCATCCTCAGCCCTTGTGTAAAGATTCTGAGATACCTATTTCAGGTATATCTATGCCGCACAGAAATTATGCACAGAAAATTGATCTGCTTTGTTGGACTGACCTGATCCCACCCTGTACATCTAAAGAATCATTCTTCATACTGCTACAGCTGCTATTATGAGATGTATTGGCTTAATTAGGACATAGCACCAAGCCTTGATTTTTTTGGTATGGTGTGTTATGTGAATCCAACCATTTTAGTTTATTGAATATACTATGCTTAAAGCAAACCATGGCTTCCTGTGAATACAGACATTCAGTAATTGTGCAGAAATCTTCCCTATCTTTAATATGTTAGTTGCAGTAACAAAAGTTTCTTATAGTCCTTTCGGAAGAAAAGTGGAAAATGAATGTTGAACAACTTTTGGAGAAAAGAAATGGAAATTCCCCAACTAGGCTTTAAAAAAAAAACCCATAGAAATAACAGGGACTGTAAAACACACTAGAGATTTGTGTGCAAAGTAGTGGGGAAAACTCCCACTGCTAGTTAACTTTGCTATCTCTTCTGCAACATTTTAATATTGACAGTCCTGGATTTACAACTATCCGATTAGTTTTGAAATTCACCAACACTGGAAAAAGTGACTTATGGCCACAGGGCACTTAGGACCATCACAGCATCCCCATGGTCATGTGATCAAATTTTGGGCGCTTGGCAATTGGCATTTACCAGTATTGATGATGGTAGTAGTGCCCCTGGTCATGTGATCACCATTCCTGACCTTCGGACAAATCAACAGAGAAAGCTGGATCTGCTTAAT